TCAGACCTGTGTCAATGTATTTCTATTCTCCGGAAAATGACACCCGGATGGGCTATCGCATTCCATAAGCAGTCATCAATTTGCTATTGTACTGGAGAACAGACAGGTCCGTGCTGGTTCCGACCGAGTGATAAGCTCTATGGACGATAGCACTCAGACGAGCGAGGTTAGTTGCTTGCAAGGGGGTATTATAAACATAGGCTGGACAATACATCCTGTTTAAACAAAACATATCAGCTTGACCAAGTTACAGCGCTGGAATGAATAGGATGTTCGCACTCTGTCGCAAATCCCTCAGGACATTTTCTTTTTTCCGTATTATCCGGTACTAGCATTTGCATTTTATCGATCATTTTGAGATGTATCAGTGTAAGACAGCCGGAGTTGAAAAAAACGAGACAGCAGACAGGAGAAATCACGTACCGCTTGCAGTTCTCGGATGGAACGCGGTTGTGAGCATTAAATGGGGACACTGTGGACCAAGTCCGGCCATTGGAGCACCACGGCAAGCACCGTACGGACCACTGACTGAAGGGCCTCCCAGACCAGCAAGATCTGCTCCGCTCAAATTGGTCATACTAGCCGTAGTGTCAACCATGCCTCTTTCCCGTTGAGGCCTGGTCAACTGATGCTCCTCAATCCCGGATGAGCGATGATATCGTGAGGTGCGATTGACCACAAATGGTCGTGTGTGCGTACGCACAGTGATTTCACCCCCGTACGCAGTGACTGGAAAGACATGGGTGGTGCCGTGATTGCTACTAACTGCAAGCCAACGGGAATCACGTGAGAAGGCAGCATCAACAACCTGGAAGAGATTCAAATTGATGTCAAAGGCGAATAGATTATTTCCCAACATTTAATGGCTAAAGTTACTGTAGAATAATGCCTATTGGTGCGAAAAGATACGAGGACGGAATATCGTACAAATGGCACGTTTCTGTGCAGCATTTAGAAGAAACTTCACAAACAGGGCGCACCATTACCGTTAATCGACGTTGAAAACCATCAAAAGGTGCTGGCTGAAAAGCTATACGCCAAACAATATCGACGTGCCACGCATCTGTTGAACAACCTCAGAAGCATCGTATACTTGTTTCCTTTATACGCTACAATAGGCTATAGGCTACAATAGGATAGGTAACACTAATCCACAAACCCTAGCCAATCTGGCAAGTAAAATAGCTCAGCAATTAAGTAGCGCCATTGTTGCAGATAATGTGCTGAGTCACTTGGAAAAATACAACTTTTTATCCCGGTGCAACATGGGTTAATTTGCAAAACAAACATCAATATTTGTAGATGATGCAGTGACAAAACCTGGGGATTCATTGGCACTTCAGAGAACACTTAGTGCTGCTTATTAATGGTCGATCGAAAATGACATGGAATTCGTCACAAAACTCGGTTTCCGTACTTCTTGGGACATCAACAACCTCCGTGTGCCTCGAATGAGAAAAATCTTGGTTTCCTTGCTCAACATGACACAAGTTGTTCTTTAAACCACCCCACGACGTTATCCATCGCTGCAAGGCATGTTGGTTTGCTAAAGTGAGTATTTGCCAAATCTGAACCCTGGCTGCTCCAGCGTTTATCAGCCCGCATTCAACCCCAAATAGAGTACGCCACTCAGGCATGTAATCCATAGATGAAATGCGATCGTAAGATTCCGAAACGTCCACAAAAAATGGCCTCCAAAATGGTCAATGGACTGCATTCCAAGACTTATGTGACAAGATTAAAATCACTAGGATTGTAACCCACACAGTATCGCCGGATTTGAGGGGACTTGATTTTAGTGTATTAAATAATGCTGTTTATTGTTTGCCCTGTCAACCCATACGCACCTCGGGAGGGGGGTGAGGGTGGGCCATAATTCAAATTAGTGTTGCAAAGCTGTCGACTATCGAATGCATGCGTCGTTCATTTGCCCTCAGAGTGTGCACTTACTTGGAATTCTCTACCACCACACGTTGTTTCTGCGCTCACAATTAATTCTTTCAGGCAGAAACTGGATGAAACACTTTCAAATATTAAATTTCGACATCCGTGGCAGAGCACGAAACAAAGAAGATTTGTGACATTCTTATTTTTCTATGGACCCTAAGTCGATCCGTTTGTGCGAGAAACCCTATAGGACAAAAAACAATAATATATATATATATATATATATATAATATATAATAAACTTTCACTTTGACTTTTCAACATAACAAAGTTTAAGCCGAGGTCACAGACCCACTGAGCCATGAGTAAAACCAACTAATCACATCTATCTGCGAAGACCTTTAAACCAGACAAGTACGGATCATTCTCAAGGGTTGTTCTCAGTGCCGATAACTAGTTGTACAAACTCGGTCGGATCTTGTGAATGAACTTAAAACACGATAGCAATAGCTTCTCGACCGATGTGCGTCGCCTAGATGACGTTATTAAGGAAGTCTTGAGGAATAAGCATTGTGTTCATCCACTGATGACAAAACTATTGAAGGCTAACCAGCCCGTTGATCCCATATAAAGTACGGATCTATGAAAAATTGCGCTGCAACCAGCTCCCAGGGACAAGCGGATTCAGGTAATGGAAAGTTAGAATCCGACTGGAGGAGATTAATACATTTATCCAAAAGAAAGCTTGTCAAAAAACCTCAAGGTTAGGTGCACTGAGCTAGCAAAATGCATTCAGGATTCGGATGCAGATCATGCGAATACCAAAAGGAGAAAGCATGGTGTAGGGAAAAAGGCGAAGTTTAGTGAACCAACAGAAAATGCGATGTGTCGAAAAGCAAAAAAATGCGGGCGATAAAACATTCGATACAAGGGGCAATAATAGTTCGTTTTGTAAGCATACACTTCAATCAGTATCTGATATCCTAACATGGATAGAACTGATCGTGATACTTACCTCGCAAGGAATATTTCCCCGTTCTAATATGTACAAATGATGCACGGCTGTCTGGCGTTGATCACACGGATGATTTGATATGCGAAACAGATTGAAAGCATGACCACGAGTGCATGCAGTGAACAGCAGTGTGCCCGTTGGGTCGAACTTGAGAAGGGACACTCCAGCCCAGCGGTGAGCCTGTGAACGGAAACAAAAGCAGTCGGCAACAAGCGGAAGATCAATTATCGCTACCACACAAAAACCACGTCCAGTTACACAGTCCCGGCTCTATTGTGTCTCCCGTGATTGTTTATCCTTCGCTCATCGTTTTTGTATCTTGATTCCAGGTCTCATGGCCTTGGTATCAATTCTTTTTCTAACCAAGAAAGTACTCCCAGAAACCAGGCTTTATTGTTATTTGAACAGGAAGAGTGTTTTTAAATGGTCGGCGGACCAACCTTATGCCAAGGTATTAGGTTGAGCATCTTCCATCGTATAATCCGTTCTTCAACACAACAGATGAAGCTTTCAGTAAGCTAAAGATGATAATGACGAATCATTTAGTGGAATATCGAGAAGACAAGTAGCCAGTGCCCAAAGAAACCACGATAAGAAGTCATCGATATCAGCTTCTTCAATTATCAAGTAGTTTCCTGTTCAGTTATGCTTCATACGATTGACATTGTCTAATGTTCACTGAAAAGGCTCTCATAAAACGAGACTCAGAACAACACAATTCGAAAGAACTTGCGTTTTGCTTTTTCGTAGTGCAGTTAAATGTGACGTGCAACTTCTTCGAACGAAAAGACATTCTAGGGGGTGGAATGATTAGGCCGAGATCTGTCGTGTCAGAAAAGAGCAGAGAAAGCTCAGTTTACATGTAGTCCACAAGATAGCATTAAGATCATCGACTGCTAGGCCGTGGGTGCTTGAAAGGAAGCGTTATTGTGATAATGATCCACTAGCCGCAGTTTTCTCTTATTCACGGCATATGAAGATGCGCGGACACACATGTGCATGAATTGGGACTTGTTCTGCTTCGTGGTCTTTGCAACCTTTGTCAAAGTGTCTTGATCGTCGGTCGTTTGGCCGTTTTCAAAACACCTTTTCTGATCGAATAAAAGTTGGGATGTGCCTTGGTGTTAATCAATGAACAAATTGATACCAAAGCTAAACAGTTATGAGCTAAGACATAAAAAGCGTGAGTGAAGGATAAATAACCACGAGAAATACTGCACATAAAAAATACCATCTACACACTTTATTGAAATCGGGAAAGTTTTTATTCGCAAGATGTGTGGCACAATGAATCATGGTGTTCCGTGGTTTCCTTTAAAAGCCTATGAATAACTGAAAACAGTGATGCTATTCAACCGTTGGCTGAGGTAAGGCTTAAACTCCAGGAACCAGGGTGAGAAGATTGCACGTGGTGTAGAGACGTGAGCTCAATTCACATCGTCAATAAGTTCACTGTCCGCAAAGTTTGCACTTTAGGGTATAGCAGTTCTGGTGTACGCACAAGCCAACTTTGTGCCCACAAGCTTACCGTGGTTCAACTATAAACAATACACAGATATTGTGCACCTCGGCTGCATTTATACATCCACGTGTCCTAAATGGTCGCTCGTAGTCAAGCACCAAATTTTCGCACAAAAAACCGCACCATCTGAAATGGAGATCGCCAACTTCTTCACAGCGCTGGACTCAACGACCACATCGCCATCAGCCACCGCTGGAGAGGATCCAACGAAGACTGCTGCTCCTATTGGACAAAACCCGTGGACCAAGCTCTGCAACGAGCGATTTTCTCCAAACGCCTGATGAAACAAACGCAGAAAAGCCGCCGAAAACCGATACCACAATACAGTATCATCAAATCGGCCTACGAAGCGGAGCTATCTGATCGCCCCTCAAATAAATCAACAGCTGGAGGACTCAGTGACCACTGATGGGCAAACAAGGAAGTGATCCAAACGTCGACAGAAAAAAGGCAAATTCTGGCGCAAGATCAAATGAAAAGCGATCGATCTCCGTGAACTCAGCTGCCCTGAAGGACGATCACAGAGCCATTCAGTCAAATTACAAATACGACAAAACGCGCAAATCCCTTAAATGCCAGCTAATCAAGAGTCTGAGGAATGACCGC